ACTACTTCTCTCTCAAGTACCCACTCTGCAACAACTCTGAGCCCATATCCCATCCACAGGCCTAGAGAAGCAGCCATTCTGAAAACAGTACAGGTGCAAACCAGTTTCTGCAAACTCTGCCCATCTTACCTACAGTAAGATAACAAAAAATGGGACTTTAGATCCCTACAGCCTTGTCTGGAGATACTTTGGTGGATCTACAAGCATGGCAAATGTGGAGGCTCTTACTCCAGTGACACAGACTTGTAGAATCTGAGAACAGTGCTACATACTGGTGAATATGATTCTTGAATCCTGTTTGCCATTAAATTAAAGAGATTTTACAGCTTGCCCTCAATCAGTGACTAATGCATAAGTCAAGGGTCAATGAAAAAATCCTGCCACATGATGACCTTTGCCTCTTTGTACTGTAATAAACTGCTACCTGTCCTGATTTCAATAGCTGAAAAAAAAATAGACAAATATCACAGCCCCTGCTGAGGATTCAATGAAACTACAGAATATAAAACTTAGAGCTAGAGCCTCTGAAGCTTGGGCAGCTTTACCACATGCTAAAGAAACAGCGTGAATCTCACCTCAGGAGACAAGAGCACCACAGTGCTTATCTCTACATAGAAATGAGTAAGACCTTCTGACATTTTCCACTGTGATTTATTTTTGGTGCTGGCCTGTGCTAGGAAGTCAATTCAACTGCACTTCTCTGCATGCACAAGATGAGCATGTGTTCTGTGCACACCCATACAACACTGCCTGTTAATCTCCTTTTAAAGGAAGCGGCACAACACTTCAAGGGTTTGTGCAATGAAGATTTAGCACGACTGTTTTGAAATTATATTCCCCTCATGCAACAAGGGAGGTAAAGCAAAGAAGCAAGGACAGATGCTTAGAAGGAAGTTCTGCTTACCAAATCTGCACTGGTAGAACAGACTTACCCTGCTCCTGAGTTCTGCCTGGCAACAGAACTTGGACAAGAAGATGTAGAAAATCCCACCTTACTTCTTCCAGTAAAGTAATTTGGAAAGAAGGGATGGGTAGCTAGTTGCTGTAGGACGTTATTAGCCATGAACAATTAACAATTCTTCCAGAGATGTAGAGGGGAGCTGAAGAGAGGGGGAAATGATGTTCATTGCCCTGGAGGATGTGTGGAGGTGCATCACTGCTGTGAGGTACCAGTGTGACCAGGAAATCACAGAATCAAAATCACAAGGTTGGAAGAGACTTTCAAGATCATTGAGTCCAACCTGTTCCCTGACACCTCAACTAAACCCTGGCACCCAGTGCCACATCCAGTCTTTTTTTAAACACATCCAGGGTTGGTGACTCCACCACCTTCCCAGGCAGGCCATTCCAGTACTTTGTCACTCTTTCCGTGAAAAACTTTTTCCCAATATCCAACCTCTGTTTCCCTTGGTGCAGCTTGAGGCTGTGACCTCTGCTTCTGTCAGTGCTGCCTGGAGAAAGAGACCAACCCCACCTGAGCACAG